GATCCGCCCTGCTCTGTGCATGACAGGGGGCGGCGCCCCAACTCCCCAATCGGCCCTGCTCTGAGCCCGACCAGGGGCTGCACCTAGGGATTGGGCCTGCCCTCTGCCACCCGGGAGCAGGCCTAAGCCAGCAGGTCATTATCTCCCGAGGGGTCCCAGACTGCGAGAGGGCACAGGCCGGGCTGAGGGACCCCCTCTCTCCCCAGAGTGCACAAATTTTTGTGCACCGGGCCTCTAGTGTGTGTGTGTGTGTGTGTGTGTGTGTGTGTATATATATATATATATATATCAATGATATACACATAAGACAGGAAACATAGATATCATAAAATGTATAGAAACTGGGGCTATAATGTATAAATTAAAAAGTTATGATTAGATAAGGAATAGGCAAAAAGCGTTCTGATTAGTATTTTAAAGCTCTGCCAAAATAAAATAATTAAGTATAGTCTTTTTAAACAGAATAAAATTATTTACTCAAAAAGTATTTTCATCCACAATAAAGTGATTTACAGTAATTATGCCAACAAAAAGGGAATGGAGGCGATAAACCTACAGAAAGTTTGGGGATTAAAACTAGAGTTAAACGTGCACTTACTAGTTCAACAAAAGCAAGTCCTCCATAGCTGTGAGCAACAAAAAATACATTCTCAGCTGCCGACTGGGCTATGAAATGGTCCCACACATAGATCGCATGTTCTTCAGGAGAACCATTGTCCTGTAAAAAAAGAAATATCATATATGAAATACTGTATCTAATTACTATCAGAGTCATCAAAAATTAAGTTACGTGCTTGCTTATATAGCCTAAGAAATAAGATGGTTATGGCTTATTCAAAATAATAACACAAAAGGACTACTTTAAAAATTCAAATTAGAAAATAAATTAGTATTATACTATTATTAAAATATTGCTAAACTTAACTGCTACTATAGTCTTTTGAAACAAAATATTAAAATAAGCACATTGTTGAGAGAATAGTGCATTCTAGGTATATCTGAGATATTAAAATATATCTAAGGATATTCATTGCATAGCAGAAAATTATAGTGGTCTTATGATAAAACTGTAACACTAAAAAATTCAGGTATAATTCTATATGTGTATCTGAAAATATTTATATTAAATTATTTGAACTATACATTTTTAAGTGTCTCTGTAAGCTGAAAATAAGCAGAAATCAGCAACAAATATTTTCTATTTATATCATTTAAAATATACATTAAGAAAGAAATTTTCCATACAATTATTTTTCTAGAACTGGGAGAAATCTAAACATATAAACCCAAAGCCTTTCATATTTCCCTAAATTGTTAAACCTTAATGCATGTATGCATGCTGCTTTAATTCCAAGAGTTTTATAAGAACTTCATTTTCTTGTGTTTATTTCTATAAGGGACACATATTGTGATAAAACCTGAATAATGTGAAAAGGAAAAAAAAATACCTAAAGAGCTAAATAATACTGATTAGAAAACAAACTGCTAAAAACTAAACATCGTGAAAATGTTTTGTACAAATATTTCCTGGAAGCTTTAACACCAAAAGATAAATTCCCTAAGAAGGTCCATATGAATTGTTTCACTTGCCACCTAAAAGCTGTTGTTCCCTTATATCTATCTCTGCCCTAAATTTCTCTCGATAGCTGCAGACCAAATCATTTCCTCTGGATGTCCCAAAGATAATTCAAACTCAACCAATTCAACACTAGGCTAAGAACATCCTCTGTGAACCTATGTCACTGTTTTTGCTCCCCACTTCCAGCTGAATTCTGAGAATCGTATTTTATTTCTCTCTTCCTCAAACTCCACATATAATCAATCATTAAAATGCTGTTGATTCTGTCCCCACTTGTCTCTTAACCCATCCCCTTCTTGCCATTCTCATTTCCTCTGGCTTAGCTCAAGCCCTATTACTTCACACGTTGATGTTGGCAATGGTCTCCAGCCCACTTTCCCTGCTTCTAGAATTGGCCATTTAAATGCTCCTCTGTCTAGTTCTGTAGTGAGGACAACTTTTCAAAAATGCAATATGATCATGTTGCCACATTACTCACTTCCTGCTTAGAGCCCTTCAAAATTTCTTCATTGCCCTCAGAATCAAGTTCGAACTCAGTATACATGACATTAAGACCTTTCATGATCTGGCTTCTGCCTTGAACTATGTCTTACTATTGCCCTGCAAAACACAATGATCCAAAAGACACCCATTTCCCACCATGAGAGACAACAGAGAACACTCTCTGTGTTCCAACTGCAGGAAGCAACTTGCAGTAACCTATCCGCGCCATACTTTTCTTGTCTCTGGACTATTTCCTTTGTTTCCAAAGTGACACCTGTGCCATGCCCTCACTTCACTCACCTCCTTCACCTACATAACTCCTACTTATCTTCAGAACTCAAATGAGGCATCACTTTCTATCAAAAGTCTCCCCAATTATCCCCCAAGATAGGTAATGTCCCACAATAACATCTGTGCATGCTCCCATTATTGCACTGAATGATTTCTATTGCTAATTGCTTGCTAGATTAGCAAATTCTTGAGACCAAGAGCTGTGTCTTGTTCATTAAATCTTAGGGTAATAAATGAAAAAAATATTTATCTTCAGGATGATTACTTACAACTTTGTAGTCATATACAGAAATACAAATTGTATTGGGAGAACAGGTCTAAATTCAGACAATCCAGACAAAACCCAGACACCTGGTCTTCATAGTTTTATCTCACAATGAAAGCAATGTATAGGGAATATAGTCAATAATATTGTGATAACTATGTGTGGTGACAGGTGGGTACTGGAAATAACGGGGAGGGTGGAGACAATTTGTGAAGTATATGACGTACACCTGAAACCAATACAAAATAATACTGAAAGTTAACTGTAATTGAAAAATAAAAAATGCAAAAAACCCATTTCCAATACCACCACCACCACCACCACCACCACCACCACCACCCCAAAAGAGAAAGAAATGTAAACACAAAACAGATGGAGTTTCTACATGCTATGGCTGGCAGAACTAACACTCTTAAAAACCCGTGATGGTAATAAATTTCTTTTATGAATTGACAGAATAAAGACATATAGAAGATTAGATTACTGTTCCCATGATACTCTGTACTGGAAGTGGGTGTGTAAGGACAAGAAGAAGCAAGCCATGATCCTGCTCTTTAATGTGTTTGCAATTTCGTGAAGGTGTTACATAAAGATATAAGGGGCAGTAGTATCTGAGAAGTATTACATTCCCTACTCCCGACACCAAGTCCAATGGACACATTATAAATCCATATGATCTGACCACAGTGAGGTTCTCCCCGCTTTCTTCTCACAATCACCAATTCTTTGAGAACCTACCTGTCCCATCCTTTCCATTCCAACCTCAGTTTGGGTCCTCTTACAATAGATTCCTAAGTAGTCTAATTTCTTCTACTCTTTCCCTTTAATCCTGTCTTTCTAGCCTTTCTTCTCACTATTTCCTGAGACGTTATATAGGCTCCAGGAAAATTTGGTTTTCACATTAACAGTCTGTAAACGCTAGACAAAACTCTATCATGGAATTCAGTCTGAGATCTCACAGATAATGCAGCTCAGATAAGACAAAACCTAAAGGCAGAGAGCACTTTCAAGGCAGCATGTTCCATAATCCACATATATAAAGTGATAAAGACTATAAATACTACTTGGGGTGGCAGCAGAGTGAATGGAAAGGGATGGAATGAGTCATTGCAAGAGAAGAATTAGCAAAACTTTGTGACTCACAGCATATGAGGGAAACTGCCAAACAGGCCCAAATGACCCATCTATGACTAAAGGAGAGCTAAGAACAAACACTTCTTTCCACTGTTCACATATAAAGACTACTGTTTTCAGAGATTAGTATTATCACTGATTCTTTTCTGTACTATAGGGGAGACAACATCTGTTTAATAATGGCCTGTCAGCAGTAGCAAAAAGAAACCTCAAGTATTCATGTGCCCTAAGTACTTAAATATTTTCAGCACCACTCTAAGATCATTACATTATTCATTAGTTTTAGGTTTTAAAAGCAAATTTTCTAAAAAGTTAAGAACCGATTGAAAAATGTCTACAATATGGGGTCATCTATAAGCACAAGTAAATAATTTGGGCCACACTTGACAGCCACTGACCCTACAAAATACGGGGTAGAAATGACAGGTTGCCTTTAGGGCAGCACCTTTGGTGAGAGCCTCGCAGCAGTTCCAGTAGCAGCCCACATGGACTTCCAGGAGTTCTGCCCTTTGGCCAGGGGGTGCTAGCTCAGCAATGAGGGAACCAGACTTAAAAGTCTTACAGCCCACAGAAGCCAATACCTCTTGCAACAACTCCATAGGCATGGCTTCCCGGGTTCCTGCCTCTTTGGAACATGCCCAATTACAAGAATTACTACCCCCGGGGAAGATCAAAGCTATAGTATGTATAGTCTATATCTCCTTCTAATCCAGTTTACCGATCCAAAGTGATTTTCTACCATAGGCAATGTTGCCTACCAACCACTCCACAGTGGATGGTGTGGTACGCTTCCCAGATCTCCTTTTAGTTATATGGCACTCATTCCCTGAGCTGTGTGAGTATTGGCCCTGATTAGCTTTAACTGAGGCACTGACTAGGAATTGTTCCCACCCAAAGAAAGTTAAATTGTCTAAATTAACAGTCCCACTTCTGAGGCAACTTATATTCAATGACTGTTTGCGATGATGTGGATCTATAAGGGCCCTATCTCTTGCCTCAAGAGCCATCCCAGATGCAGAGGTCAGGATAGATTTGGATGAGGCCTTTGTTGTGACTGTATGGCAGGGCAGTTCAGATCCTCCTTCGAAATTCCTTTTTCCCCCCTACTCCCTTACAAGTGCGGATCCCAAAAACTCCCCAATGAACTTCCAGCATGCAACTTCAAAATCTGTTACCTGGGAAACCCAATTTAAGACACTTTCTTATTAGGTTACCAGGGACAGAGGTAGAAAGTTAACTGAAGGTCAGATTCTCATCTGACAGATGGGGAAAGGATTTTGCCAACCTTTGACACACAACATCTTACAAGAAATATACAGAAAGTATTTACATCTATTTGCATGCCTGTTTAAAACTACTGCAAAATATTGTTGGCTTACGTTTACCTGTCAGCTCTCCTATTAGTTACGGTAGGTTAAATTTATTCCTGTACTATTTCATTGGTTCTTCTCTATTCTGCTTTTTCTTTAATCTGCCAAGTCATTTCTCCTTCCTTCTAAAATATAAGGTTTTAAAACCAGATTTGGAGTTAGATACTCTTTCGAATTCAAACTATAAATACAAGGCATTCTACAGGCATTTAATAAATGACTAATGATGCCAGGTCTAATGGCAATGATACCATTGACAAAATATGAAGTGAGTTTCAAACACCAAGACAAAGAAGTATTAAACTCCATTTAGGAATCAAGCTTCTAGTAATCTGGAATGTGGCAATGATAGATGTTCAAAGATGTTCATCATTGTCTCACTTATAAAAGCAAAAATCTGGATAAAGCTTAAATTCTAGTAATGCAGAAATAAATTTTAAGTAAATTATAGTTTATCTAAGGAAATATTATATAGGTATTCAATGAGTTTACAAAGTAAGACACGCAGTTCATCTAATTTTATATGTGTTATAATTCACTAAGTGAAAAGGCTTGAAAAAGACTAGAAGTCAAAAATATTAAAAACAGCTGAGCTG